AAAAGTACTCAAAACAAACACTCAAGTATCACTAGTGTTGGATAAGTAAATAACGCACTTGGGAGCCCTTTGATGTCGTAAAATGAGCCGTGTTTCACCAGCACAACCCTATTGAAAGCCTATCCGAGAAGGTTCACTTTTATGAAGGTTTCTCAATAACAGTGTGCAAAAATTGGATGATCAATGGCAGAATGCACACTTTGTCTCCCGCACTTAGGAGTAGTAAATTCTACGAAACCTAGACGTGGCATCAGATAACCACCCACGAAAAATAGGTGATAACGATTTTTCTCTCGGCCGCTGCCATGTATCCTTCTATTCCTTGGTATAGCAGAAGCAGCCGTGACGGAGGTCTTGGAAATTCGATAGAACACTTGGTTTTTTATGCTGCTAATTTTCGGTGCCACATCTGTGTTGCGAAGCCTGCATTTCGTTGCATTGACATGCCTCTCTTGGAAGAAATAGATGGTATATCCGCAGTTCTCTTTCTAGTTTGCAATACTGTGGGCGGAAGAAAAAATAAAGCGAGCACAAAGCTTTTCCAGACAAGTTCCAATTTTTTCTTGAAAAAAAAAAGCAACTCACTGGTCATGCCATTTTGCTGTTGCTGTTCTCGCTGCTCATCCTTTCGTTCAGCTTCAGCGCGTTCTAAGCGTTCTATCTGTAAAAATACAAATTGAGACTAACTCATCCATACAAAAAGCTCTTTTATTGTGAGACTTACGCGAATCTGGAAGTCGCGGAACACCTGTACCATATATGGCATCGCATAGTCGGTGATCTTATTCTTCCACGCCAACTCAAGGATTACATGAGGATGGAGAAGATCATAACAGTGGTAGAGGGCGGCAGCGAAACATTCGTACAGACGCTCTTCGAGGAAGAACGCAATCAGCTCTTCAGCTAACTCGCTCGACCTCGACTCAGCAGCGTACTCCATCGCATCCTATGAAACGAATATCCATTTCACAGACAAAGACAAAATTCATCATAGCCACTTTGCACTTGCTAATCGATCTGATAAGGGTTACCTTGTACAATTTGTCCTTCTTACACAACTCAATCGACTGTTTCCATCGGTTGTTGCCCTTGAAAAGATAGGCCGAAATTCGCCTGAACTCGACAAGCGGGTGATTCTCCAGTTGTTGCGCCAAGGAAATGTTATCAAAGTTGTCATGCGAATCAATCGAGGCACGCAGACCCGCGTGATCTTCCTAAACAAATGAAAATTCACCATAAGCAGAAGTAACATATAAAGAATCAATAGCACCACTAGTGTGCAAATCTTGCTCTATGCGAACATTAGTTCATGATTAAGCGTTCCGCAAAGATTTTCCCTCCCCCCTACGTTTGGAAGTAAACACAAACTAGTTGTTCAAATCGAACCCAAACCTTAACAACCATCAAAATGTTATACATACGACTCGCACACACAAAGAAATAGGCTACAAACCTCATCTATGAGAAGTTGGTTCAAAGCCTCATTGATTGCCTTGTTGTTGAGATTCTGCACTTGTTTCAAATATGGCTTGATGAGTGGTATATGCTTCACTGAAACAGAAGATATGGAAACTGTTCATGAAGCTCTCGGGAGGAATCCTACTATAACAAAAGCGAATTGTTTAAAGAGGAACAAACTTTTGAAAATAAACAGCAATCAGCAATCCCCCCATTAGTTAAAAACGGCAGCCAAAGAGTGCACCCTCTATTTCAATAAATAATTCTGGGAATCACAACTAAGACAGAGGAGGGCTCGATGGAAAAAACGCAAATGTGAAGCACTCACGTTTCGAGAAGAATTGAACAGTTCGCGAGTGATCAAGTCGTGGAGAGAGCACTGCCAACAGATCATTGATGAGCAATGGTTTGTAATCCAAATAAAACTGCATCGCCTTGTAGTACAACTCCACATTGGCTACCTGAATATTTAGACATTACCATAGACCCTTCATTTACAGGAAGCAGCTTGTTTTCCCTTACGATCACTTCCTGAGTGTTTGCTTTCCCGTCCATGATTCCCGTGGAGATGCTGCAGTCATCGTCAGCGCTGCGTGTCGACTTCTTGTATTATCTACAAGACCCGCAGCTTCAGCCCACATGTGAGCGGTGCTCGGCGGCAGCAACACTTTTCGGGGGAATATTGTACGCGACTCGCAGATAGGTCAAGGTGCTCCGGCCATCTTCTCTGGCTTGTGATTACGTTACAAAAATAGCGTTCGGTGAAACATACATGGATGCGGTCTCGCTCCATCAAGGCGCCCGCTTCGAGAAGGCACTGAGAAAAAATACCCGCCTTAGCATGTGTAAACAAGAGGAAAGCAAGCAAAAAAATGTGAAAATGGTAAATATAAATACCAATCAGTTCTTCAAAGTGGCCGCGATCTTGGTAGAAGTTATTAAGTTCTTCCAATTCATCTGCATGAACAACAATATGTAAGCCGCACATCTGAGCTAGACGGAACTCTCCGTGGGTTCAACGCAGGCGAAGCATACCTAAAACGTGGCCAGCATCAGGGATTTGGAAATCACTTCAGCATAAATTAATGGATTTCTGAAAAAGTTTGTATAAAATTGTTGGTGCACACTTAACGACATAGGTTGACGATCAAGCCCAACTCGATTCAGAGGAATAGTAAGTGGCAAATGATATACCTGCTTCCACGTCTTGGTGCTGTTAGCTTTTCGGGCTGCATCGACGGCTCCTTGGTATTCTCCGAGACGAACAAGGGTGACGGACAACTTGGCAAAGTTTGAAATGTTGTTGAAAAGAATTTTCGCCGCCTCGTACATTCCATTGTCAAAGCACCGATCACCAATCTTTAAAATTATATTGAATTTATTTTGTCAGCAAGTCGACTATTCGAAGCAAATGGTTATCTTACCAGGCCAATTTGAGCATGATTTGGACCCGAAATAAATTCTTCCAACTCGGTGAGGCGACCAGTCTTCGCTAAGGCGTAGACCAGCTCAGTTTCAATGTACGACTCTCGAGACTTCTTGCGGGCCATCTGGAGGAATCGAACGAGATCCTCCCAGTGCTCTAGAAAAGGAACGTCGTAGAATCACTGAGTATTTGTTATTGGTTAGGAATAATTTCTACATACCAGTCTGAGTACACTTGCTAACAACTTCCATATATGCTCCTGGATCATCAGCCCTAATAAATGAGTCGACCGCCTCTTTGACCATGTCTTGCCTCAGCTGCGCTTTGGCCAGACTCGCCCAGACATCAGACTGATTGCACTTCTCGGCAAACTCATAGGCACGATCGAGATTCGCAACATTGTCAATCAGCACCTGTAAAGCGAATCTTAGTAGATTTCGAGAACAGGGAATAAAATTCCGAGAAAGTGTCCCAGGAAAGGCACCCACATTGATGGCACTGTTGTTCACGTCGAACTTCTTGAAGATAGCGAAGGCCTCCTCATAGAGTTCACTGGAGATTGCGATATTGGCGATATCTGGAGCATCGTAGTTGTCGAGTTTTTGTATGTACTCCATCACCCGAGAGCGATCAGCCTAAATAACAACGAATAATCGATAGCTACAGAAAGAACAGCACAAGATGGAAGAGCATACCCTCATTGCAGTAAGAATGAGCAAGTTCTGCAGATTGCGGTGTTCCGAGAAGGCAGAGTTGTCGAGAACAATTTTCTCGAGCAACTCGATGAGTTCATTTGGAAGGTCAGCTGCCATGAAGGCCTTGACAGTTGCCGATATGTCTTCTGGGTCTTGGGTTTCAGAAAGAGCAGTTTGTACGACCTTGAATAAAACTTTTGGTCCTCAAGTAATCACAAAAACGCAAGCTTTTCAGAATACCTGATCGATAAGCTGCCTTCTGTACTGGTTCTCCTCATTGAGCACCTGCTCCCATAGTCCATAATCGCGACGGCGGAACAAGGTAACGTGCGAGGTTTTTGAACAATGAGTTCTCATTGCAAACAGAAATCAATTCTGCATCACACTGACCGCGCTCATACGCAAGGAAAGCGAAGTGGGGATCACGCTTTTCACAGTACCTGAAAGTAGCAACATGACGATGAGGTCAATTTCCGGCAATCTCGAAGTTGTGCTTACTTTCCAACCACGCGACTGTCGTAGTAGGATTCTCTCTGAGGAATCGATCGGGATTGTTGTTCGCATCAATGTAGATCTTCGCCATTGCATTATGGGTGGCTGCATCTGTAGCGCCATCTTGCACGCGAGATTCGAGCCAATGAGAAAGCAATTTGAGCCTGAACGGAACCACTTTCAGATGTGCCGGTAGCTCTTTGATACATGAAGAAAACCAAACCTGTTTCTCTTCTCAACTTCCGCCACCAGCTCGTCAATGTCGAATTTTCCACGCGTATTGAGAATTAATTGCTTGATAGCATCTTCAGAGCAGTCAACATCAAGCAGACCTCCTACAACTATGGGAAGACGGGCAGCGTTGACCTACAACAGATAGGAAGTCAGAAAGCACCCTGCGATAACGCACACTCTACAAATCAAGCGATAACGTGCATTGTATAAAATCAAACCCACTTTTTGCACGAAAACCTCGATATACTTCTGCAGTTGATTTCTGTATAGATACAGCACGAGATCATGGACCATGTCATGACGGTCACAGACGATTATCAATGGTAGCTAAAAAAACATATTCAAAAAAACCTCGTTAATATAAGGAAGTAATTCCTGAGGGGCAATGCCAACCTGATCAGCAAGCTTGGCTTCCTTGAGGAAGTTCTTCACACGTTCTGCGTCGTAGCAGTTCGACTCACGGCAAATGCGCTCTACTTCCTTGATTTGACCAGTGCGGGTTGCAGCCTGAACACGTTGCAGTACAAACGTAAGCAAAAATAGCACAGATACTAGATAGAAAACGATGTAAAAATAAGGTCTCCACTTTCATTTCAAAAGTGCTGGAAAGCGAATGGAAACCCTGACGAAATGAGCAACACAACGCCCACAACTCATTTATTATCGCAACGTGCTCGAAATGCAACCACAGTGGAACACTGGCCTAACAGCCCCACGCCCCTCCACCCTTTACCTTTTTTGGTTCCTAAATGAATCTACGTCTGTGTTTCGCTGCTCTGAAAATGCCATAAGGTATACCCCGTGATGCAGCAAAGAGAAAATTTTCTCAGCAATTGTATAATCCAAATTCCCATGCCATGTCCATGTAAGTTCACATTCCCATGCCAATCGCATGGCAGCCAATTTCATTTCATTTTCGCACAAAAAGTATAAGTCTGCCCAAGCGTTGCTCACCTGGATATATTTGAAGTGCACTTCTGGATCTTGGCTAAAGTTGACGATCGATCCAAGGAAATAGAACAATCCCTCGTAACTCTTGTGAGTTTCAAACATGTCAATCAGCTTTTCAGTGCCCAGCTGCTCATGATATTTAGAAGCAATTTGGACCACAACCTGGAATTGGCGAATGATTTGATGAGTTCATTCACCACAAAGAAACACAAAAGAAACCCGACAACCACAAGTCCAACCTGTAGATTTTGACGAATGTTTTGTGTGAGCATAGCTTTCAGGCACTCGAGTGAATCGTCCACGGACAAAGAGCCAAAATAGTTGACCAACCACTAAAATATATAATAAAATATCGACTTCATAAACATTCAAGAAATCCAAAGAAAATCCTGTTGATTCCCCTACTATCAACTTACATCTGGTTTGAAATGTGTTGTGTGCACGACAGTGCGCTTGATATCGTACAAATCTGTGAAGTGTTCCAGAGCGCGTTGGAGCAATCCAGCTTTCTCGCACAGCTGTCCAATCTGTGGTCTGTCGTAGTGGCTGAACATCTTGTTTCCAAGAATAGCATCCGCGACCTGAAGTTATACGAAATAGACTTGAGGAGGAAAACTGGAACCAGTACCTTCTATGCTATAACTCACTTGCGGAGCAGCCAGCAGATTCATTTCAAGCAAACGCGTTTGCAAATGGCCTTCCTCTGGTTTGTCACCCTTGAGTACTTCGAGCAAGAACTGAGTGCAAGGTTGCACTGCCTGCACCTCCATGAAGCAATCGATGATCTGAACATAAATATTTGAGGAGAAAGGGAGGGAAAAAGAACAAGCAATAATAAGAGGTAGAGAATTTTCTGAAACAGCAACTGCGGAGTAAGAAGCTGACCTGGTTCAAATCTGCCAAGGGCTCTCCATTTTCGCTCTCAACCACCATCATCTGAGCAAACTTAGCTCCTGCTTCCTGATTTCCTGATCGCAATATCTGAATAGAGAATGTACACATACTGGAAAAAGGAATGTTCACGCATAAGTGAACCATTAGCCTGCAGAGGTGTAGCACCGCTAATTTCAGTCAACAAACCATTGCCCAATTATTCTTTTAGGATTCTTAGAAATCTACGATAAGTCAGGAAGTGGAATCAAACGAATTCTCCAACTAACATAACCGCATGCCTCCTTGCATCAACCCCGAAAAAAACTAACCTGTCTCAGTTGGAATAAATAGTCAGGCTCAAAGCCAACACGCTTTGCGTAGAGAATAATTTTGTCGAACTGGCCAGTTTCTGCGAAGCATTGGACCACCTAAATATAGGCGAATGAAATCAGAAGGTAATCCATTCCGGAAAAAAGTTGAAAGCGTGAAGGCAAAAGCAGAACAAAATTCATGCATAATTCAAAGCCATTTCCATTCTTTTTTTAATCGCCTACCTTGTGCGGAACATTGCCACGAAGGTAAATCGACAGCGCTACAGTAGGGTCATGAGGACGAACTAGATCTCCCAACTCCTCACAGCACTCCAATTTTTGATCGTTGAGCCTAAGAGAGTAAGTTACTATAAATTGATCTGGTCAGCTTATCGAAATAAAAAGCAAAATACAACAAGTAAGTTAAGATCTGGATTAATCGCAATAATTTTAACTACTGCAGCATATAACACAGAAGAACAAAAACCGAAGACTTACCATTTGTTCAGCAATTCCTTGCGTCCCTGCGCCAGAACAGGACGGCACAGTTCAAGAGTCTCGTACTTGTTCAGCTTTCCCTAAATCAACAAAGTCTTTGGTACATATTTAGCTTACACCAAACCTCTTCAAAAATGTCACGCACTTGATCAAGCAGTATGCCAAAGTATTGCAATAGCGGTGACGCACCACCACCAGGGTTGGCAGGACACTGTTGGAACTTCTGAATTGTTTGTGGCGTGCGAAGAATGCCCTAAAAAAAGACCCACGTTAATGCTGCAAACGCAAATGAAAATCCAAATTTATAAATTTCAGTATTGAACTGGTTTTCACCTGTGGGGCAGTGGCCGCAACCTTTGCAGCTTCAGCAAACTGACCGTTACCAAAGAGCAAGTTGAATTTGCGCACAAACAGTTCCTCCGCACCTGAACATTTCCAATTTTGAATGGAAATGTGATTATCAGAGTTCGTGATGCAAAAACTCGTACCTGGTAAATCGCAACGGACAGCAAGTCGAAGAGCTAAATCAGGATTCTGCAGCTGTTGTGTGACAAATGGAATCATGTTGTTTTCATCAATTGAGACTGAGAGCACCTTCAAATAATGTCTTTGAGCATGTAACAAAGTTTGAACAAACGCAAAACTCACCTGTCCCTTGCGATTTATGCCCATGATTCCTCCAGTGGCTTGATATTCGCATGTCACGAAAACGGTATCAGTAGAAATACGATTCGAATAAATACGGGAGCCCGACTCCATGTCATACAGATGAACAAGACCATGCTTTGTCACCAGGTATGCGATACCGTGCTTCGATGAAGCCTGAAAACAACTTCATTTTTGCTTCTATTCAGTCAATATTGATAAAAATGCTTAAAAAATCGAAACAGAATGAGCTATCATTTCCCGTAAAAATAGGTAGGACCCTTTTTCATGCAAGTTCTTGCCGTCTCATAGGACGAAAGAAGCAGCACAATCCTTTCCCCATACGCGCCCGCATGCCATCTTACACATTTGATATTTAAATTTAGAGGAAAACTGAGATAGTACTCTATGAAGAGACTCTGGAAACTGTCAGGAGTTTATCTGGCTAGTTAAATTTCCGAATCACTGCAGGAACAATGAACTAGAACGGCCCATAAACTTTCACATAAATTATTTCGGTTTCAACAAAAGCATTTATTGATCACTGAATTCTGCCCACATCAGGCTTCACTATGTTCACCTTCCTGCATGTTGCAATGTTTACAAATGCGTATCGAATTTCGTGCGATACCCCAGTAAACAACATCGCCACACGGATCATTAAATTCGGATAGAATTATGCTATCAACGTGACTATTTGAGCAGCAAAATAATTCTGTGTCG